GCGGAGGGCCGAGGGCCGCGAGGAGCACGCTGGTACACTGCGCCGCGCCGCGCCCCGCGACGCCACCACGCGCCAGCACTGCGATAGCGGTGCTGAGAAGCGATTCCCAACATCGCTTTCGTATCTGCCTCTCTCGCACCCACAGGCTAGCCCACATGGGTGTGAGAGAGAGTGGCACCGGTTGCACCGCCGCGTCCCTGTTGCACCCCGTCGCCCTCCACAACGCCGCCGTCCTGGCCGGCCGACCTTCCTTCCTTCCGGTGGGGGAGCAGGGAGCGGCGAGCCGGGCCCGGCCGGGCCGCCAAGCGAGACGCCGCGGCACCCTCGCGCACCCCCGCGGCCAGGTTCAAGTACCGTCCGCGCCCAAAGTGCACGCCGCGGCCAAGCCGCCAAGCCAAGGCGGCCCGCGGTGGGCCAGAAGACCGGCTCAGCTGGCCAACACTCTCAACGCGTTTTGAGCTCCAGCGTCGCTAAACAGGACTCGAACCAAACGTGTGACCCCACCAATGGATTCCTCGTTCGGAGAGCTATCCATTGATGGGGTCACACGTTCGGTTCGAGTCCCATTTAGTGACTTGACCGCCTCCACCGGTCTTCTGGCCCACTGTGCGGCCGGGCTGAGGATGGCGGGCAGAGGCACTACAGTTACTCCACTCCACTGCGGGTCGAGCTCGAGCCTCTTCCCTCCCAACCCCTTCCCCCTTCCCCCGCACGACCGCCGTCGAGCGCCAAGCGAGCACGCCCCGCTCACCTTTGCAGGCCCCGCAGGTCCTGCAGGTTGAGGCCGCCGCGCCGCGTCATCGCCACCAGCCTCGCTCGGTCCACCGGGACGTCCACCAGGACGTCGGACGCGCCCCCGCCGATCAAATCAAGGCGCCTCGCGGGGCAGGCATCGCGCCGTGCCGCGCCGCCGTGCCGCCACACCGGGCTTGACCTAGGCCAGGGCCGCGCCAGGCCGCGCTGCTGGAGGACCTCTCTCTCCAGTTGGCAACACCGCGCGCGGTCCGCGGCCCGCGCCCTCCTCGCAGCGCCGCGGCCTAGCGGCAGACCCATTCCAAAGAGGCGTTTCGCCTTCGCCGCTCGTTCTCTATCGCACTCACGGGGCGCCCCGTCAGAGTGCGAGGGAGACAGCGACGACGCGGTCCCTCGGAGTCGCCCGGCTGTAGCCGCGCTGGAGAGCCGCGCCGCGTGTTTGGGCCCCTCGGCCTCTCGGCCCCTCGGTCCATCCGCACGCAGCGGGCCCTCTTTCTCTCTCGCTCGCACCGACGAGGCGTTGCGTCACGCGGCCCGCCCCGCGACCGCCCCGCATTGTGCCGCGTCTGTCTCTGCCTCGCTCGAGGACTGCTCGGACAGCTCGGACGGGGTGCGGCTTCGGTGAGCGACGAAGAGGTGCGTCTCCAGCGTCCAGTGCCGCAGATTCTGTGGCCGCCAGCGAGCAGCCTGGGCGTCGGGATTCGGGATTGAAGGAGATTTCGACGCGCGAGACGAGGACGAAGCGCGGAGTCCCTAGGGTATCGCGGCAGGACACTGCGTCCGGAGTGTCGCTGTCTCTGTCGCACTGGCAGGGCGGCCTGTCGGTGTGAGAGAGAGACAGGGCGACAAACGATTCTTCGGCATGGCGCGGTAGGACGCGCTGACAAGGAAGGCCGCCGCCGCCGCCCGCGGCGCCCTGCCGCCCGCGAGGGAAAGGCGCAGCGCAGACCGGCCCGACCGGGAGGCGTCCTTGGCGCCAACAAGCAGTGCGAAGCGGCGAAGGACCGACCCGCGGGCAGCGCGAGCACGCCGCCAAGCACGCCACCACGCTGGCGGCGTCCAGGACGACCAGGACGTCCCGGGCCGCACCCACCTGCGCCTGGCCGCGGGCGAGCCAGGCCCAGCCAGGCCCAGCCAGGCGCCAGGCGCTCGGACGCGGTGCGAGTGCGACGGAGACGCCGCGACCCACATCGTAATCATGCCCCTCACGCGATAGGACGTGCCGTACGCGCACCGCGCCGCGCGAGCCGCGTCACGACGGCGACGCACTGCTGGCCGCGCCGTGGCGCAACGCCAGGCCACGCACGGCGAGGGCGGACGCGTATGCAGCTTGCAGGCAGCACGCAGCGCGCAGCGCGAAGCACAAGGGCAGGGTCACCCCAACACGGCGAAGGCGGACACGGGGGCCATCGCCTCTTGCGTCAGCAAACTGTCCTTCTGCCCCCAGGAACACCGAAGGACAGGAACGAACCTTGGAGTCAGCCTGCAGGCGCCCTGCGACGCCCCTGTGACCGACCACAGTGTAACAAGGGCTCTCGGCCGGCCGCCCACGGCGGCGCCTACGCCGTCGGGGCAGAGCAGCCCGTCAGGCCGTCATCTGGGTGAGGCGAGTGGGGCCCCGGCCGGGCCCTGGGAGGCCCCGCTGGGGTATCGATTGGCTGGAACTCGCGGCAAAGCCGAGCAGCGCGGCGGCGGGTGGCGGCGGCCCCGGCCCCCCAATACGCTTCGACCGGAGGACGCCGCCACCGCCGCCCCACGCGCCTACGGGCCGCGCCGCTCCGGCTGCACGCCAAGCCGGCCGTCGAGCTGGCCACCAAGGTCCAGCCCTGTCGGCGCCAACGAACTGATGATCAAGGCGCTGCAGAGGCCGCACAGTGCTCTCGCCGCTGTCTCTCTCGCACTCGTGGGGCAAGAGAGAGAGAGAGAGCGCAGAAACACTGTGCGGAATCGCTCTGCAGCGGCGGGCATCCCGAGCGTGGCGTCGTTCGTGGCGGTACAAGGCCACCTTCCTCGCCGGATGGAGCGACGGGGCCGGCAGGTGCACACACACACGGACACACACACACATGGGCACGGCGGGCACGGCCCGGGCAGGCCGGTGCGACTTGGCGAGCTGATAACTGCTAACCTAAATACTACAGCGCCGGACCGGCGGCGGGGCGGCGAGACCGAGACCCCGAGTGCCGTGTGGGGCCGTGTGCCCCGACCAGTCCTCGCCTCGCCACGCCCCCCCAGCGGCTGCTCCTCCATCGCCAGAGTATCGCCACCGTCACCGCGCGGCGCCCTGCTCGCGGTTCGGCTTTTTCACGACGCAAAAAAAGGAACCGATCGAAACTGGCAGTTCCGACAAGTGGGCCGTAAAGTAAAGCCAAGGTGAAGTAACCAGCCCTCCCCCTCGCAAAAAAACACAACAACGGCCAAGCGGGCAATGCCCAGCAATGCCGCACGGAGAGACATTCGGAGCGCGTCCGTCGTCGGAAGGTCCCTACACTGAGAGTACGGCCCGCATGCGAGCGAGCGAGGCTCGCCTGGACAAAACGGCGCCCTCTGCCTTTTGCACGCGCGACCGCAGTGACTCACTGCTTCGCCGCGGACGTGACGCGGAGTGACGCATCGTCACGTCACCCCGAGCGGCGGACGGCCGGACGGCCGGGCGCGTCAGCCACCCCGACGACGCGGCGACGCGGCGACGCGGATGGGGAAGTGCAGGCAATGCAGTCTGCAATGCACCGCGACGGGGGCATCCTTGGCCAGTGGCAGAGTTATCAAGCCGCCCCCGCCGCAGTCGCGAACACCGCCAACCTGCTGGGGAGCGATCAGCGTGGAGCCGTAGGCAAAAAAGCAAATCCCATGGGGGCAGAAACACTCTCCTCGGGACCAGAAAAACTCCCCATGGGTCCCAGAAACACGTCCATCCCATGGGGCCAAAAACACTCTCCGTGAACCGACGAGGAACACGCGCGTGATGCGCGTGCGCCCACGCCAGGTTGCCGTCGACGGCTCGGATCCGCTCGGTTTGATGCGATACGACAGTGATAACGGGGGGCCGAGCGTGGTACGACAAGTGTAACCGGGGAGGTCTCGACGAGGGCGGCTCGAGCCCCCGGACAGCAAAGCGGCACCGTTGGGGCCGTGGCATTCGAATCTCGGCGGAGATAGTAGCCATTTCGGCGCTTCCGTGTCTGGGGACCGTTCCGGCTTGGCCGCTGGCGGCGGGGCGGGGCAAGGCGGCGCGGGGCGCGGCGCGGTGGTCCGCGACCGCTACTCCTCCACAAAAGCAGGGCAATCCGGCCCCAACTCACTCCATTCCCTCCGCCCCGCACAGCCCCGCCGCACCGGCCGGCCGGAGAACCCGATCCAGGACCTTCGCCAACGAGTCCTGCCCGCGCCGCGCCCTGCCGGCCTGGTCCGCGGGTCCGCCCAGCCCTACCGCGGCGCGAATCGGAACTAAAACATTCCGAAACATTGGCGGCTGTCGATCGTGGCCCAGCCAGAGTCGGCACTGGGAGACCTCGCGGACGCGGACCGATTGGCGGGTCCTCCAGGCACGGGCGCAGCATCACGGCACTGAGTGCCAAGTCACCGTGGTCGCCCTCCCCCTCCCCCTCCCCTCCCGCATTCCGCGCCGAAAGGGAAGCCCTCGCTGGGGGCCGCAGGGCCTGACAGCCCCAGCCCCGGTCGGCGCCGACGCCGGGCGACTCCTGACATGCTCCTGGCGCCGGGTGGCGCCACCATGGAGGCAGGGCGCCGCCCCGTGTAACTGCCGCCACGCACCAGGCGATTCGACTGCAGACGCCGTCGCCCTGCTTCGCCTCGCCGCCGAGGGGTTGCGTTGTTGGCGGTTGCAAGAACCCCGCAGCAGCGAGCCGCGGGTATCGTTCCGAACGGGCAAAACTTTTGGCGCGGGCGGTACTCGTTGTACTCGAGTCGAGTCTCGGCCCGGAGCCGACACAGCCGGAGCCGGAGCAAGCCGGAGCTGGAGGCGGGGGAAGGGGGGGGGGTGCCCCGGGCAGGGGGCAGGGGGACGGGAGGAGAGGAGGACTCGCTCGTTGGGGTCGGGGCCGGCTGAGGGGCCAGCAGGGCAGGGCCAGCAGGGCCAGCACCAGACCGCCTGGGTCGGTTTGGTTGCCGGTGAGGCAGCATTCGGCCCCGCACTCACTTCCTTCATCAAGTGTTTTCAGTTCCGGAGCCTCCCCTGACTCCGGGGAGGCCCAAGAGCACGAGTCGGAAGGGATGTCTTGTCTCACCTTTCCAGACGCCTTCTTGTAGCGGACCGTCGCCTGCTGCACCAAATCCTTGACCAGGATGTCGCCGTGGCCGCAAGGCACCACGACGCGCACCGGCCCGAAGCACACCGTCACCTTCATGGCATTCCTCTTGACGTTCACTGCACTTCACCACAACCACTCACAATTCACTGCACTATCACAACACAGGCGCGTGAGCACGCAGACACATACACAGAAACAGACAACACTTTTCACTGACTGGCAACTGGCACCACACACAAATCAACAACAACTCTATCACGTTATCAACAACAACAACCGGAAGACCGCGGCGCGTTGAGAGTCGCATGTGCCGCGCGGCGAACGGCGAACAGGGGAAGCCCGGGTGGAACGCGCGCAGACATGTTGCCGCGTCGAGCACGGCGCGCACACTGACTGGCGCGGCGTGGTGTGGCGGCGTGGCGGGCGACGACTGAGGTGAGGACTGGGGGAGGAGGGAGGCACGCCAGGCACGGCGTCGACGCCAGGCCGTGGCTCCAGCTGCAGCCGCTACCCCCTCCACCAGGTGCACGGCATAGTCGCTTCACCTCAAGTTGAGCTCTCCAGGCGCGCCCCGCCGCCCCGTCCTGGAACGGCCTGGACTCCAGCTGGAGGGACTGCAGACTCCAGGCCGGCTCCAGGAGCACTCGCCGCGCGCCGCGACCGCAGCCTGGAACAGCGCCTGGACGGGTCGGGTTGCAGTGCAGCTGCCCAGCTGCAGCGGAGAAGGTCCAGCGCTGCTCCAGCTGAGCGACCACCGAAGGATTCGTTTCGTCGCTCCGTCTCTCTCGCACCCTAACGAGGCGCGTCACGAGTGTGAGAGAGATAGAGTGATGATGGAGCGTTCTTTCGGAATCTGCTGGAGCACAGAGAAATGATACTTAGCTGCGTTTCGCTGGAGTCTGCGAAATGCCTTATTTTCATGCCGCGGAGCATTGATCCGAGGAGCCGCAGCCAGAACGTGGAAGTCCCGTGGAAGCAGGCAGGCATCCAGCTATCCTGGAGCCCACAATCAAGGCGAAGTTACTGTACCTACGTAGTACTCCCGTCCCGAACTGATTGGACCAGTCGCTGGCACCGAAGCGAGATACGTACGACTGTCCGTCACTGACATGTCATGTCATGTCGGCCGCTGCCGCCGTCGTGACGTGACGAGGAGGGCATGCCTGCCGTGGATTAGGCAGAGGGAAGGACGTGACGTCATCAGGCATCGGTCAAATTCTGACAGCCACTACTCGGTGCTCTAATTTAGTCTCCAGGGAAGCTCCCTCAAATTCGTCACTCTCTTTGCTGAAGACGGTTCAGGCCACTGCACTGTGTACTCCCCATTCAATTTGGGCACCGAAGTAGTTTTCGTCGCTGTCTCTCTCGCACCCATACGGGACGCCCCATGAGTGCGAGTGAAAAAGCGACGAAAACGACTCTCGGAAGCAGTCTGCTGGAACCTGTATTCGACATCAGCGACTTCTACCGGCAGCGAGCCGCACTAGCCGCGCTCCGCCGAGTGTCCCTGCAGACATGGGGTATGTCGGCCAGACGGGCTGCCCAACTAGGAAGACAAGAAACTTTAAATTGGTTCATCAAACTTGAAAAATGGACAGAAAAGAAAAAAAACAGGATTGACAAGTGACATTTAATGACTTAAGCACCAAGATGGCTTAGACACAAAAATGAATGACATAATAATAAGAATGATTTAAGCCAAAATGGCTTTGACACAAAAATGAATGACATCATAATCAGAATGACTAAAGCACCAGGATGGTTTAATGACATCAAAATCAGAATATAACATTGCAGTAACTCTTGCTACGAATACATGGAGTCAAGAAGACTGGTAATTCAGTAAAACTTGTAAAAATAAAAATAAAAAACTAGTAAGTTAGTTGATAACTGAATCATCACTTTGGCCGTTTACAGGAGAGCTAACGGAGCGGAACAGCGTCATTTGAACACCACCCTCCTCTATGGCAAACCGTGGGCAGGGGCTGACACTGTTAGTGACTGGAATACGCAGAGTATTAGCAACTGTGAGGTGGGCAGGAGAACCTGTCAAATTATGAAACAGCATGTGTTAATTCAAAATAATAAAAAAAGAATTAAGAAATTGATTTTACAAGGGATGAAGCTACGATTGCTGAAAGGCAAGCAAAAATTCACCATAAGTAATGAACTACTTTTGTACGCAGAGATCCCTACCTTTCCTCAGGGCAAGGGCATGGGGAGTGAATCCATACGCATTTCGTATGTCGGGATCTGCCCCATGCAGGAGCAGCCACCGGGTGAGGGTAGCATTACCAGCTTTAGCTGCCAAGTGAAGCATGGAGTTGTTGTGCACATTTACATCATCAACAGAGCACCCTTGAGAAAGAAAGAGAAAAGATAAGGATTTTTGTAGCAACAACTAAGGTGTAACTAACTTGAAGAAAAGCACACCTTTTTCCCACAGAAGATTGAGAGCTCTGGGGTCCCATGAAGAACTCTTACTGACTCTGTAAGCCACTAAGTACATGGCAGTCTCTCCGTCTGAATTAGATAATGAAATGTCTGCTCCTAAACAGGGAACGAGAAATGTGTCACAATTAAGAGTTACTTAGACTCCATACTGCAGGTAGGAGAGCTACTTGCCAATATTTATCATGTACTGGATGAGTTCAAAATTATTGTTCCAGCAGGCTCTCTGCAACAGATATAATTTCCTTTTAAAATGAGAAACATTTGGCCAAGTTTAGAAGGACATTTGTACTTACCAAGAAAGGTGTGTATCCATGCGACACAGTGCAGTGCTTCCAAAGGGGAACGTTCACTAGATGACCGTTCTTGGCCAACAATTCGATGCATGCATTGGTGGCATCGGGATCCGGTGGACACTGTGATTCAATACAGTTTGATTCAAATAATTTGAATAAAAAATTCCTTATTAATAACTGAACAATGTGCCAGGGCATCACCCTGGGATTATACTTGACCATAGAAACAAAACTTACACCTGCATAATAATGGATCTTAGCCAAGTCAGTCTGCTCTGAGAAGTCAGGACCTGTAACCCATGACATCTCGAGATGACACATAAAGACCAGCGACATTGGGTGAGCTGAGGGACTTGGACATACCTTTGGTGCATTTCCTGTAGAGCAGGTACCCCATCGCGACCACTGCGGCCGCGCCGCCTACGCCGCCCCCGTACAGGAGGACGGTGGGGTCGGCATGGAGCCCAGTCAGCAGGTCGGCCTCAACCTGCCACCAAATCTCCCTCACCTCTGCTGCAAGGTATCCTGGAAACACGACATCGCTCGTCAAGTCATTTCATTCAAACTCAATGGCTGTCGTTTCTTCGTTTTAATATAGAAGAAGACTGCCTCCATCTTTGATACCATGATGCCGGAGAGCGTCCAGCCCTGCCCTGTAGGCCCCATCGAAAAGTCAATCACTCCCCATCCCTTTCTGCCTGTATACTTTAAGAACCGCACACGGAGTCACACGATCACTTAAATCTCACCAAATAGGTCGATTGTGGCGTTCATGGTTTGACGCAGATGTTCGGTCTTCACAGACCACCGTTTCGCCGCCGTTACTTTCTGAACTTCGTTTGACACGTTCGAACCGGCTGCGCGCGCGTACCTCGCACTACGTGGGTGCGTTCCAGTAAGAAGCTTCCAGGCAGAGAACGACCAATCGAACTTCAACGTGAAGGGCAGGGCATCTCTCTCCTTGACTCATTCACAATTTAATTCGAATGATTCTTTTAATTTAAAAAATGACCTTCACTGCAAAATGAATGGAAGAAAGCACTAGCAGGGCGCAAGACTGTGGAAACGAAGATCTGACCGGAAATGACCAGTAGGGTGCCGAGGTCGTTGCCCCGTGGCAGTGCAAAGTGGAAACAAAAACATCCGCAGCCCCCCGAAATCCGGAGGACGAGGGCGAGGAGGGAGGGGCGGAGTGGGTGATTGCAGACGATATGCAACATTAGGTGTAGAAAAATATCATTTCTAGCCATTATGGCACGTAAAAATTACTACTTTTACTTCATGGCGCATTGAAAACTAGAAGGGTTCCTCAAAAAGAGGGGCGTCAGTATGGCTCGTCAAGTAGTGGCGACAATTGCCATACTTTTCGCCCTGTTTGCAGTGTTCTGCATTGTTCAGGGTTCTGAGGGAGACCAGTCCCCTTTCTATCGCAACTGCATAGACAAGTGCATTCAAGCAAATTGTACCAAAGGTAAAAATAACTGAAAACAGTCCAGATTATTATTCATTTTTCTTGCAGGTTATAGTTGCCTCCACAAATGCTGTCTATCCAAAAAGTTGTGTTATTTTCATTCCTTTTTCTGTGACCTGTGATGAGACTGAAGTGTGAATCTTTTCAGGTGGTAAATTTTCCAACACAAGCAATGTTCATTATTCAACATTAGATACCATAATTGGGTGGACTTGTCAAGATGAATGCAGGTATACATGTATGTGGCCAACTGTTGAAGCGTTCCGAGGAAGAAAGTGGAATGTTCCGCAGTTCCATGGCAAGGTGAAGTGAAGCAATGAATTACTATTCTTATTTTGAAGGCTTTCCTAACCATCATTCTTATTCTGTGTATTGTCAGAAACCAGCATATCTAATAGATTTTTGTGTACTATTTTCAGTGGCCCTTTGTTCGTGTTTTGTGCATGCAAGAAGTGGCATCTGTCACATTTTCCATCTTAAATTTCATTGTTCAACTCAATGAATGGCGGAAGTTCCGGAAAGAAGTCAACCCTGACTATCCATTTTATTGGATGTGGTCATTCTATGTGATGGTATGAAGCTGTAACTGAGAATTTTACAAACACTGGGAAGCATATCAACTTAGTCATTTATTTTACCTCTTTTGTCAACAGATCTGTCTTAATTCATGGGTATGGTCTATTGTCTTCCATGCACGGGATACTTCATTTACTGAAATTATGGATTATGTGTCAGCCTTTTCAGTAGTGACATATTTTTTGTTCTGTTTTGGGGCAAGGTGAGTTTTTCTCATTTCAGATTTTTTGCTGTTCTTGTTATCAGTTGGGAACTAACATTTTACTATTGTTCATTTAAATTTCCCTCAGAGTTGGAAGCCATTTATTCCGAGGAGCAACTGTTGTCCACGCATGTCTTTGCATTGCACTGTATGTCTTCCATGCAACATATTTATTATTTGTGAAGTTGGATTATGGTTACAATATGATTGTCAACATAAGTGTTGGTAAGTGCTCAAAATTGATCACCATATCCTGGAAAGCTAATAAACTCATATGAGGCCCATATTTGACGGATTTCTCTTTTGTAGGTGGTATAACATCTATTGTCTGGTTTGCCTGGTGTGTTAAAAAGCAGAGAGAATTACCACACACTCACTATTTGATGCATTTTTTACTCGGTTTGTGGGCAACAATGCTTTTTGAGATTCTTGACTTCGAACCAATTTATTGGATTTTTGATGCTCATGCCATTTGGCATTGCACAACAATTCCATTGCCATACCTGCTTTTTAGGTAAGTTTTCTTCTTCCACAATTTTCACTGTGTATCACAGTTTTCTTAAAAAACTTTACTAATTTGTGAGAACTTTGACTGTTTATATTTAATATTATTATTATTGATTTCAGATTTGTGAAAGCTGACTGCAAGTACTTACACAAGGAGAAAGAGAAAAATATTTGATTATTGCTTTTTTTCTTTAGAAGCTTAATGCCTATCTAAAGACAGTCTTAAATGTTTTTGAAAGTATTACCAAAGGACTGAATATGCAGATCGTTTTAAATCTGCCTATGTGACACTAGTCAGTTGTGGGCTTAGTGTACTTGTGTAAACACTGCATGTGCGAGATGTGAAATCAAACAATGGATGTGAGTTTGCAGATTTAATCCAAGAAAGTAGTTGTTTCATTTTCTGCTTTTAAATTGCGCTGTATGGTTTTGAACACCAATTGGACACAGTTACCCGCACTTCTTTGGTCACATAAAAATAACTATTACAGAAAATTCATTTTAAAGGTAAAATCAGATGAATTTTTGTAAGACCACAGTCCATTCTATTTCTCTGCAGCTAATGTCTGTTGTTTGAGTTTGGTCCCATAGTCAACAAAAGCCATAAATACCAAGTCATATTTTGTTTTTCTTCTCTCTTTCTTTAACACTAAAATTTCTCTTATATAATTGTGAAGTCTATGTATGCATTTAATGTTGGCATTTAATTTTTGTCTAGAACTCATCTTCTATAAGTAGTGCCTTTTCTTAGCTGTAACTTGCAAGGGGAATGCTACCTTTCCTGTGACTTAGTTTGTTTCAACAAGTTTACAGTCAGAATTTGAGTCTGTTTCATGAAAATTTTACAAGTTATTTGACTTGATTTCAGTTTTAAAATTGGAAAGGATTTAGTATTTGCCTGTAAAGCTACCATTTCATTGTAGTGCCTTTCTCATTCTTCTTATTATAACTATCGTTGCACCCTCTTTCATATTTTAACTATTACCTGTGACACTTGTTATGTTTGGCTTCACTCTTGGTTGTAATCCATGAGTTAAAAATTTATATCGTCTTTACTTTCTTATCAATTAGGTGTGGTGCAGTACCATTCCACCCATAAGTTACAGTAAAAGTCTGTTGTAGCAAATTGCCCAGATATTTTTTTTGTTAAATTTGTTATTTTGTGGATTGTGGATGCGAGGATGGCTGCTTCTTGCTCCATCTGTCTTTTGGATGTATCGTGTCCAAGGTTAATTGTGTTGTTAATTTTGTTCTTTGTTTGCAATGAATGAGTCCTCTGTTTATGTCTCTTCCCAATTTGACAGAGCTCTAGGGAGATAACCTGTATAATGTATTTTTATTTTATTTCTTACTTGATGTTTGTTGTACTTTATGCATGAATGTGAAATAGGTATTCAAGCACAAACTGACTGCAGCACCCACTGGCTAAAAAAATGTGGATCACTTACTTTAAATTAACCTTCTGAACATGTATGTGTTCAATATGAATTATCATTTTTAAGCTATGCCCAGATTGCACTGAAATGAGTCTTTGTGTTCAGTCCAAAAATTTTTTTGGTGCTTTGGGACCCAATGACAGATTTTTATTAAATTCTTAATAAAATGGATAATATGACATTTTTCCAATGTTAATTTTCAAGTGACTGTTGTTTACAATGAGGTACAAGCTGTTGTTTTAAGTACTTACTTTTTAATAAAATTTCAGTGCAGTACCTTGAGTCTGAATAACTCCTTTGTAATGTTATTATTTGGGGCTTTGTTAGAAAGTATTTTGTGCCATTGAATGTTCAACATTTTATTTGTTCTGTGTAGAGTCTTTGGCTGTTGAAAGATTGATGCCATTTTGGTTTGATGTGACATGAAATTCTTTTTTGTAGGTGTGAAACTACTGTTGTACCTATCATTGTTATCAATCATTTTATATTTTAAAAGTTTCAAATATGTTTCAAAATTAAGATGTGGAATAGTTTATGAATTGTTAGACTTTAACTTTGGTTTCTAAAACCAAAATCAAGTTGCGATGTAATGTGAATGTAAGCTTGTTAGTTGCTACCTTAGCGTTTAGGTGACTACAAAGTAGTGCAGCTATTAGTGATAGTTTGTTTAGATAACATTGATATATTGTCATGTTATGTGTAGGTCCCTTGCTGGTTTCAAAAATAATATATGTCTATTTTTAATTATTCCAATCACCCCAAATTAATGTGTTTGTTGGTATTCGATTTATTGTTGATTTATATACACTTGTGTTTCTTTTGTGTGTGTGTTGCTTGCACTTTACCTATTTACCTAGTATCTAAATGTTGAGTATTTATCAAAATATTTGCATACAATAATATCATGAGGTGCCTGCAACTCACTAAGCTGGAGCTTGGTTGAAATTTATTTCTTGTTGATCGTCCATATTTGCAAAAGTGGTTATGATATGAATTTCTTGTTTTGTTGTTATATTATTTGATTTTTCTGTGCTTTACCAAAGTGAACCAAATTCTTGTTTCGTGATACTCTAAAATGTTTTTCCTTTGGATTTTTCTTTTTTGTTATTACACAAAATGTGAAATTAAAATCTTGCTTGAAGAACGTCTTTTCTTCCTAGTCTTCCTAGCCTTTGATGGGGTTCAAACTGGGTGGCGCAAGTGGAACGGCGATGGGATCTAGGCGAGTGCCGTCGCCGTCGCCGCGTTGCCGTCGCTCTGGGATCCGCGTTTATTTGGTTATTCAACATTCAAGGCGAAAAGCGGCGCGATTCGGACCGCTGGGCGCCGCGCCGACCCGACCGCCCCGAGTTCCGTCGGGGCGCTGCCTATGCAGGTTTCGTCGCTGTGTCCCTCTCGCACTCGTGGGGCGCCTGCAAGGGGTGCGACAGAGACAGAGACAGCCACTGCGCTCGGAACAGGGCCGAAGGGTGGTGCTAATGCTAAACACAGGCGGTGCTAACGCGCCAACGCGGCGCTGCTGAGCCCGGCCAACTTATTTCCGCCAGGATGAAGCAGGAACCGGATGCAACGGCAGCACTGCAGGGCTGCAGGCTAGATGACTGGATGCAGGGCAGGACAGGGCGCCGCCCGATCCGCACGGCGACGGCAGCGACAGCCTACGCGGAACTCGGCAAACGAAGCACCAATTGCATTATTTTTCAAAAAGTCCGAATCACGACCGCCCTCACGCACACCACGGCGTGCGCGGCGTGCTGCGGGGCCAGACGGTGCGAGTCCCAGTCGGCCGTCGGCCCGCCCGAGGCCCGCAGCCCCGCGGCGGCCCGCTACCAAAACTCATTTCCGCGTTCGACGCAAACTGCCCGCGCCCAGGCCAGCAGTCCAGGAGCGCGGAGCCTCCGATTACTTGTCATTTTTCCGGTGGCGCGCCGCTCCGCCGCTCCGCTCCGGTGGCGCTTGGCCGCGCTTGGCGTGGCGCTCGGCGTGGCGCTTGCTCGGATGGCCGCTTGGCCGCTGCCTCGTGTAATTGGCCGCCGGCTCCACAAATAACCTGCTCAAGTAGTCAACAATTTCCTGGCCGCCTCCAACAATAATCTAATTGCGCTCGGTGCCGCGTCGGGCCAGGGCGGGCCGGACGGGGCGCTCCCGCCGTCCGGGGCGACGTCGCCGTCGTCGAGAAGAGCGCCGGCGTCCTTGACTTGCGGGACCGCGGCGGCGAGGCGAGCGGCAGGACAGGGCGCGGAGCTCGGCGCGGAGGACCAGGCGGCGTGAAGCGATTCGTTATCTTGAGCGTTGTGCGACAGGACGAGCAGGACGGACAGGACGGCGCGTCTTCCGGGATGACATGTTGCTGATTCACGCCCCGGCACGTCGCTCTGTCTCGCTCGCACCCTTTAGGTGCTCTCGGAACGCGCCGCGAGTGCGAGAGAGACAGAGCGACTCGTTCGGAATCCGCCTGCCGGCGCACGGCGGGAACGGAACGCGCTTGCAGTGGAGCAGTGGCCAAAAAGGGTCCCAGAAAAAAGGCGCCTCTGGCGGGGCTCGAACCCGTAACCCGCGCGCACCCAGACCAAACGGCAGCGATGTTACGTGGAGTTACGCCGGAGGGCGGGCGGACGGCACTCCCCGCATGAAGCGGCCGCGCGCCACGACGGCAGTTGTTTCTTTTGGATTCCTCGGCGTGCGGGGCGCAGGGCGGGGCGCGGTGGCAAAGGGCCCAAGGACCGAGAGCCTCGAAACTCCGGGTAGGGCCGCCGTGCCGACGTGCCCAGCATGCCCAGCGCCGTGCCCTCGCCGCCCGGGTCACTGCCCTGCCCCCGGTTTGTGTTCTCCAGGTGGGATAGGCTAGGATAGGGCTCTAGATAGGAACTTGCCGGCGGCCGGGTTGGGGGGGGGGGGGTCCCATTCAAAGCGAGACTGCCGTGCTGCCGCCAAGGCAAAGAAGGCCGACAATGCGCCTTACCTCGTTCGTCTCTGTAATGTCTTTACGACGTCACCGGCCGACCAGAGTTTCGTCGCCCTGTCTCTCTCGCGCCCGTACGCGACGCCCCACCAGTGCGAGAGAGACAGAGCGACTAAAGCTCTGTCCGGGGAGACTTCCACAACTCCGAGCCGCCACCGAGCCGGACCCCAGGCACGACTCCGCACTGCGTGTGTCACAGCACGGCTCTAGAGTCGGGCCGCGTGGCCGATCAACGAATCAACGAATCTACGACCGTCGCAGCGTTGCTCAACGGAAACGAAAATTCGCGGCACGTACTGCAGAAAATAAAGATCCACCTGGAGGAGCAGTGGAAGCCAGCGTAAGTCAATAGTTGTCTGCTTCATCACATTTTTCATCGGTACGGTAAAAGTGATTGATTTCATGAAACCTGTTCGCTCCGTCTTACTTTGCGAGTTACTTCCGGAGTGTTTGACTATCCGTGTCGTCGGGCGGCTGCTGGGCGCTGGCGGAGGTGGTGACACCGTTCATTTTTTCCCACTCCCCCTCCCTGCCGCCCAGGGGCTCTGTCTCTCTCTGCCCCGCTGTGCTGGGGCCACATTAGTGTAGGGCAGGGCGTGTTTGTTGACAATGCGCCCAGGAAAGGGAAACTGAGTGAAAAGGGTTGCATCGGCCTTATCGGGCGTGGCCGCGTTTGTGGCGGCGGTGGCCCGCAGACTGATTCCGAGAGTCCTTTTCGTCGCTCTGTCTCTCTCTCGCACCTACAGGGGGCGCCCCATGAGTGCGAGAGAGGCAGAGCGTCGGAAACGATTCTCGGAATCAGTCCGCTGGCGGTGTGGCCTTCCGTCCGGGTTCGGCTTCCTCCCGGACGTCAACGAGTAGTACTTTGTGTACCTTGTGTACCTGTGTGGAGGCGGCCGTGCCCTGGCGGTGCCCTGGCGGTAGCGGGCCACCTGCCCCACCCCCTCCACCGCCACCCCAAAGCTCCACGCGGGAGCCGGCCTGCCTGCCCGGCCTGCCTGCCCGGCCCGCCCCACTGCGCCCCACGCCGCCTCCCAGTCAGTTGCGATCAAGTCGTGACGGCGAGCGCAGCGGGGCCGGGGCCGTGCGGGACGGGACGAACGAACGAAACGCGAGTGTGTGTGAGTGTGCGTGTGTGACAGGTCACGTGACAACGTCACAGTGTCATGCCGACGTAGTGGTGCACCGGTAGTGATCGCACATCAGTGTCATCCAGTGCAAGTGTTGGTGTGTGTGTGAGTTAGTGTCGGACGTACGGCGAGGCTGCCCTCCGCGTGGATTTGGAGGACAGGCTCTCGCGTCGGTCCGACGGTGTGTCAGTCAGACGGTCCGTCCGGGACGCGCTTTGGATACAGTGCCTCACGCCGCCCCTCCACGCCCTCGGCACTTGCCGGTGAGTACCTGACCTAATCTGGATGAACCTAACCCCAACGTGTCGGACATTCGGGTCTCATGCGACCACAGTTCAGGAAACTGTCGGGGGATGAGCGTCAGATTTGGACAGAGTGAACTCTCTGTGGGCTGCCTAAAGACTCTGAATGGACTATCTGTGGGCTGCCTAAGGACTCTGTATGGACTTTCTGTGGGCTGTCTATGGACTCTGTTGCCTCTTTGTCGACTCTCTAAGTACTCTCTCTAGGTACTCTTCGAAGGCAGGACCGCCGAGCCGACTCGAGGTTTACGCGCCCTGCCAGTCCTGCCGGCCCTGCGCTGCCTTGTGTGTTCCCCGTTCCCGGCCACGACACTGCTTGTAATTGATTCTCCATTTCCGACTCATGGCTTGGCCGCTTCCCTTGTGCGTTGCGTTCCGTCCCTGCGGCTCGGACAATGCGCCGCGCTGATTGGTGGCGCAATTTGGCCTCTTATTATTCGCCAGCCAATCAGGAGGCTGAGAGTCGTTTTCGCCGCTCTGCCCCTCTCGCACCTACACGGGAAGCCCCATGAGTGCGAGAGAGACAGAGCGACGAAAACGACTCTCGGAATGAGCCTGCAGGATGCGCCTCGCCTCGCACTTCCGACTTGGGCTTGGGCAGCCATTGGCTTTGCCATAGGCTTTGCCGTGACCGCACAGTCTGATTGTTTGGCCAAGTCAAGGGGATTGCGGGCATTGCGTGTCGCGTGTCGAAATGGTTTCGGCTTTTGTCTCTGTCTCTCCACACATGGCGCGGGGCGCGCGGCCAGGGCGGACCAGTCCGGGGCCTCCTCTCCAGCCTCTCC